CATCGTCACAATATGCCCATACTTGTCAATGGGGAGGACACTCAAGATCTTTCTTACGACATCGGATGGTTGCATTTGTGTGAGTCCAAGCCCATTGACCTCCTCTCTACAAGAATATTTAAGCGAGAACATATTTTATTAGCACTTTCACTAGGAAGCATTTCAAATGAATTAAGCTTCTTCATCATAAGGTGATAGCGTTCCTCACGCTCACTCTTGGTTACCTCATGGAGCGCATAAATGTCCGACCATAGTGCATGGGCGTCTTTGTGGTTCCGCACATGGGTAAAGACGTCCTTGCAAAGGCCTCTAAAGAGGATGTTTCTAGCATTTGTATTCCACTTCTCGTAGTTTTCCTCATCACCAACAAGGTTGGCGGGGTCCTTAGGTTTTGGGAAGCCTTGAGCGGCGTCTCTATACACTCCAACATCTATAGCCTCTAGGTGCGCCTCCATGCGAATTTTTCAATAAGAAAAATCATCTCCCTCAAACACGGAGGGGGTCCATCCCCGTGGGACATCTTGCTCTAGGCGGTTAAGCCTAATTTAGGAGCATGAGACTCCGATACCAATTAAAAGGATCAAGATGCCCAAAAGAGGGGTGAATTGGGCTAATTCTAAATTTTTTGCAATAATTAAGCCCTACACTTTGCCCATTTCACCCCCTAGTGCCTAAAAGTGTTTGTATTGTTCTACCGTATAAAAGTTTTGCACCCTAGGTTATAATCCTACTTTAGCATGGCAATTCTAAGAATATAAAGACATGAATTGAATTGCTCAAATATAAATGTTCAAAGTAAAGAGAGGGAGAGAAACGCGGCGATGTTTTTTCAAAGGTATCGGAGAGTCATCACTCCCCACTAGTCCTTGTTGGAGCACCCGCGCAAGGGTGTAGCTCCCCCTTGATCTGCGCAAGGATCAAATACTCTCTACGGGCTGATTCTTCGACACTCCGTCGTGGTGAATCACCCACAACCGCTCACAAAGATGACTTGGGTCATTCATGAGCTCCGTTGGATGATCACCAAGCTTTCAATCACCACCGAGCCATCTAGGTGATGGCGATCACCAAGAGTAACAAGCATGAACTCTCACTTGACCCAACCAAACCTAATGAGAAGAGTGGATGCACACTTGCTACTCTCTATGCACCAATAAGGTCCTTAATCTTAGATTAGCAAATCTCAACAACCCAACTAGGCTCTTGCTCTCCCTTGCACACCAAATGGCTTCCTCAGCTGAACAATGGGCAAGAGAGCCTCAATGCATGAGATGGAGGTGTATAAATAGCCCCAAGGGATGGAACTAGCCGTTGGCCCTCTACTCAGCTTTTTCGAGGTCACCAGACAGCAAGGTGGCACACCACCACCCCCTGTCCGGTGCCATCCCAATGGCTATATTTCAAATAGTCGTTACTGGGCTAGCACCGCCACCCCCGGGGCGCTGACCAGACCCTAGTTTCCCTCCTCTCTAGAATAAAATGGTGGTGGCACCGCCACCCCTATGGCGGTGTCCTGTCCGATGCCCCTCTAGGCAAAACACCAAGAACCGAGTCTCTAGAAATATATGACGGTGGCACCACCACCCCCATGGTGGTGCCTTGTCCGGTGCGATCCCGAGCACCCAGCCTCTCGATAAAAGGGGCGGTGGCACCACCACACCCATGGCGGTGACCAGGGCGGTGCACACCGCCCTGTCCGTTGCCACCAGAGCTACAAGCCTCCGATTCGATCGCCGTTTCGAATCGCTTTCCAACTTCCGATGATCTTGGGCTTCCTCTGAGCTACCTAGCGCTAGATTTAATAAATGTGCACCACATTCTTCTCACTAGACTCGCCTAGGTCAAGCTACCCATCCATGCCCCCTTTATAGTACGGCTAAAAGAAAAACAAAGTCCTAAAACTAATCCAAGTGTCTCTCAATGCTAAATGACACTTAGAACTAGTCCGTCTTTAACCTCGTCGTCCATCTTTTGAAAACCGAAACGAATTCCATCGTTAGGGGATGAATACCATAAGTGCCCAATCAATCACCATTACCATGACCTAACTTATAATGCCTCTGCAAAACACACGTTAATCACAATAATTTTGTGGAGTCATTAATCACCGAAACCCAACTAAGGGCTTAGATGCTTTCAGGTATACCTAAATATTTGAAGGAGTATTCACCTCCATCACATCCCACGAGCTTGATGTATTGGTCCTCAAAATCTTTTGCTTCTCCGTAACAAAATATTTCACTTTTATGAAAGTTTATTTTGAGACCGGACAATTGTTTAAAAACACACAACAGAAGTTTCATGTTTTTTGCTTGTTCCAGGTCATGGTCCAAAAAATAATGATATCATCTACAATAATTGACAACCCATCATCTACAAGGTGTGGGATGACCCCCTTAATTGTCCATCATCCATTGCTCTTTTAATCAAGAGCACAAACATATCTGCAACGATGTTGAACAAACAACCATATATGTGGCCCTACACTATACGCATTTCAGCATTTGCGATTAATGAAGTTGTGGCCGAGATCGGACGCGAGCACATTACTGAGTGCGCAGCTCCCGGACAGCTCCCCAAATGATGAACCACATCGTCATCACATATTCGATATTCTGGATGCACTAGAGCCTGTTTGGTTAGAGCCCTGGTTGATTTGCTCGGCAAAAAGTGTTACCTAAAGATTGTTTGGATTTTTTTGTTTGTCCGGCCAGGCAAACCTGATAAAGTTTGTTTGGTTGAAGACCTGGACTTGAGATTAGATTAAGTGGTATATATGTTAAAATTTATTCTGTAAACACAAGCACTAATTTAAATTGGTTGTAGCTTAAGTCAACTTGGGCAAATAACACGTGATAGGAATTACATAAAAATAATCGGATGAAAAGATGGATAGTATCAAACCCCTCATAAGAATCCTTTTTTCATTGTTTCTTTACAAGCAAAAACACTTGATAGAGAACCGAAAAGAAGAACGTAATCTGGACTTGTGATCAGTGCAACTTTATTGGTACACGTTTTTTTCCTGTGAAATTTCGTGTACACAGTACCAGCTAATATAAAGAATAGCAGTAAACAAATAATACAAAGAATAGCAGTACCGGTGATTAGTCCAGACAAGCCAGCAGCTGCACCCAGGCGATCGTTTTCGTGCGCCTAAGCCTGGAGGCTGATGCTTGGGACAGCAGCTCACCGGGGCTGCAAGCCTGCAACCAAATAAGACACAGGCAGCTACCAGTCATGCTACCGGCCCCTCAAACCGGACCTTGATTGAATATGACCCTGTGTTATGTTGTAGGAATTTAGATTTTGAGGTATTGTAGCATGTTTGTTTTTATTTGGTAAATAGTGTTTAAACATGGACTAATTAGGTTTAAAACATTCGTCTCGCAATTTTCCATCAAACTGTGCAATTAGTTTTTTTTCATCTACATTTAATACTTCATGCACGGGCCACAAACATTCGATATGACAGGTACTGTAGCAACTTTTTGGAAGTTGGGGTCGAACTAAATAAGGGCTGAGTCTTTTACCTGGCTGCCGTTATAAAAGATTTAGTTGTCTATAAGCCATAAGCTGTCACAAGTGTCACTAGAGCCTTGTTTACATTGTAAATTTTTACAATCTGAACACTGTAGCACGTTTCGTTTGTATTTGATAAACTTTATCCGATCATAGATTAACTAAGCTCAAAAGATTCTTCTCGTGGTTTACAACCAAACTATATAATTAGTTATTTTTTTACCTACATTTAATACTTTATGCATATGTCCAAAAATTGATGTGATAGAGAAAGTGAAAAAAATTAAAATTTTGAGACCATCTAAACAAGGCCTGGAGGGAACTTTATTTTTTTCACGCCATTTCATCCACTTTTTCGTTTAACGGTGTCAAACTGCGTCGAAAAAGGTCCCAAATGCCTTCAACTCGCTGAAAGAGACGAAGAACAGGTGCCGCTCGGCCTCTGTCTTGTCTGGGCCGGTGAGAATGATCTGCGACGGCGAGGGCTGAAGAGCAGGGGGCTGCGGGGTCTGGCACTCGAGCAGGGAGGCAGCTGCAATGTGCAGCGGCGGCGGCGCGCGGGCCAGCTCCAGCCCCGCCAGCGCGACCACCCGCGGGTGAGCTCCCCCCGGCCATGGAGATCGCGCCGGAGGCTCGAGGAGCCGGCAGATCGAGAACCCAAGGTGAGATGTACGGGGACTGCAGTGCGGCGACGGCGAGTAGAGGTGCGTCGTGATGGAGATGGCCGGCGAGATGGGGCAGGTGCGGTCGGAGCCCCCCACCGCCAGGGGAGCACTGCCACGGGCGAGTCGTTCCGCCCAAGGGTCTCGGCCACGTTCGCCACCGTGCCGTGTGGCTCTCCCTTCCTCACCCGCTCCCGCTCAGACGCGCAGGGCGCGGGCGCCGCCGCCATTGCCGGCCGGGCCGAGCTTGCCGCCGCCCCTTCCTTCACCTCTGCCGCCCATGCACCTCCCCTGTGCCTAGCAGCAGTCATCACCACTGCCCTCACGTCCTCTTATTCTTGCCCGCGGGTCCCCTGCGCCAAATCGGGAGCAGGGCATGCCGGGGAACACCGGAATCCGGCCGGGGAGAAGCTTGCCGGCGGCGGGGAGGCGGTGCAGGAGCGCGGCGGCACTCGGCCGCACCCGTGGCAGGGCTTGCCTCGACGTGAGCCCGGCGGTGGCACGCTGGCCTCGTGTGCATGCTGTCGTGGCGGGGACCGGAGAAAGGGTGCTTCCGGAGCGGCACAACATGGGAAGGACGATGGCGTAGCCGGTTGGGGTGGAGACGGCCCGGAGGAGACCCCACCAACTCTTGTTCGCGGTCGGCGACGCGCAATGCGCGGACAACAGTGGCGCACGACGGGTCTCTGATCGGGTTTGGCTTGGGTTCAGGGGAGGAGCGAACGGTGGAGATCTAGGCGGGGCTGGTGGAGCTAGCAGAGGGCACAGGGAGGCCGGGGCGGTGGGACGCAGCGGCGAGTGCTGGCTCTGCCGGCCATGGCGGAGGCGCGGCTTGCTCTTGGTTCCGGACGTGGAAGGAGATGGGGAGTGAGGGCGCTAGAGAGAGGGAGAGCCAGAGCAGCGTAGCGCTTTCCCCCATCTTGGTTGCCGACGAGGACGCGGGAGATGGAGGGACCGCGGCAATGAGCGTGAGGACCGAGTGCGACGGACGGCGCTGTGGGAGCAGGAAGGAGACGGGCATTTTGGATATCTTTACTGGGCCAGGTCCACATGTTAGAGCCATCTAACGGTGGAAACGCGACGGAAGGTGGATGGAATGGCGTGGACCCACCGCACCATGGAGTTTGTAAGCACTGCTCGCTATTGGACTTAGCTTGGCCTGCAGCAAACTAGCAATCTCATGCTATGTATGCAAAACGAATGACACGATCGACTTGCATTTGGATGCAGAGGAACAGCATAAGGGCTGCGTCGAGCTTCGTGGGCCGGAACCACCTGCCGCCGCGGCTGAAGCAGCAGATCCTGGTCTACATGTGCCTCAAGTTCAGGGCGGAGAGCCTGAACCATCAGCTCATGGACCAGCTACCCAAGTCCATCTGCAAGAGCATCTGCGATCACCTCTTCGTACCGGTCGTCAAGGATGTCTACCTCTTCAATGGGGTCTCAAGAGAAATGCTCCTGTCCCTGGTCACCAAGATGAAGCCGGAGTACATCCCGCCCAAGGAGGACGTGATCGTGCAGAACGAGGCTCCGGACGACGTGTGCGTCGTCGTCTCCGGCGAGGTGGATGTCATACTGCTCGACGGCATCGACGAGCACGTGGAGGCGACGCTGGGGACACGGGACATCTTCAGCGAGGTGAGCGCGCTGAGCGACCGGGCGCAGCCCTTCACGTTCCGGACGAGGACGCTGAGCCAGCTGCTGCGGCTGAAGCAGGCCACGCTCAAGGAGGCTATGCAGAGCAGGCCCGAGGACAACGTCGTCATCATCAAAAACTTCCTCAAGGTTACCACTTACCAGTCGTCTCGCAGCTCTCTGCAAAAGTCTGAACAAACTGCACCGCGCTCTGTGCTGGTGGTGATCACTGAAACGGTTGCAGCATCAGGTCGAGATGCATGGCATGAACATGAAGGTCGAGGACTTGCTGGGAGACAACACTGGCGAGCATGACGACGACGCGAATGTGCTGATGGTCGCCGCGATGGGAAACAGCGGCTTACTCGAGGACCTCCTCAGGGCAGGGAAGGACGCTGACGTCGGCGACGCCAAGGGCAGAACAGCATTGGTAAGCGAACATACACACGACACGAATCCAGGGCATTCTGCGCATCCATGCACTGCACAGCCATTTGATGCGGACACTGTTGTTGGCGACGCCACTCGCAGCACATCGCGGCGATCAAGGGGTACGAGGACTGCGTGCTGGTGCTGCTCAAGCACGCGTGCAACGTGAACATCAAGGACGCGCAGGGCAACACGGCGACGTGGAACGCCATCGCGGCGGGGCACCACGAGATCTTCAACATCCTGTACCACTTCGCGCGCGCGTCCAACCCGCACGCTGGCGGAGACGTCCTGTGCCTCGCCGCGCGCCGCGGCGACCTCGACGCGCTCCGGGAGCTCCTCAAGCTCGGCCTGGACGTGGACTCGGAGGACCACGACGGCGCCACCGCGCTGCTCGTCGCGATGGCCGAGGGACACGCCGACGCGGCCAGGTTCCTGATCATGAACGGGGCCAGCGTGGACAAGGCGAGCCTCGACGACGACGGCTCCGGCTCCGGCGCCGCGCGGCTAACAATGTCGCCGACGGAACTGCGCGAGCTGCTGCGGAAGCGGGAGCTCGGCCACTCGATAACCATCGTTGACTCCCCAGCGGTAGTCCCGGACGGCGGCTCGTCGAGGCACCGCCGTCCAGGCAGATTACAGAGCAGAAGCTCGGACAACGAGCGCTGGCCTCGGGTGAGCATATACAAGGGCCACCCTTTCCTTAGAAACCGCAGCTCTGAAGCTGGCAAGCTGATCAATCTGCCAGGCACCATGGAAGAATTAAAAGCCATCGTCGGTAGGCGCAGAAAGCAGAGTTCATTCAGCTAACTGCAGTTGCAATGGCAAATTAATTGAAGTACTGAAGTATTCTATCGCGCTTTTCTTTTTCTTCAGGTAAGAAATTGAAAGTTGATGCGGAGAAGGTGCTGATCGTGAACGACGAAGGAGCGGAGATCGACTCCATCGACGTGATCCGGGACAACGACAAGCTGTTCGTGGTCACCGAAGAAGATCTGAGGAGGCTGGCATCAATGGACTCGCTGTCTTCATCATAGCAAGTCGCACGGGTAGATGTGCATCCAACCAAGAGTACTGTATGTTTAATAACCGAGTCATCTCTGTGCATGCAATTATGACACATATCTATTCATGCAAGTTATCCACATCAATAATCCACATCATCCATTAAAATATATTTATTTATCCACATCAGTAATACCATACAATCCACTAAAAGTTTATTCACGATACCCACGGCAACGCGCGGGATATGCTTATCGTATCTTATAATCATAAACTCCACTAACATTCTATCTCAACGTGGAAGTCATCAACATCATCGATCTCCTACTAAATGTCACGTCATCCCTAGCTACTTAACTTTTAACCTTTTAATGTAAGTTATCTAGGTCGTCTCAACTAAGTGTAATTACTATTTTTAATAATATAAAAATATACAAGACATCCATTTATTGTTATTGTTTTATTGTTCCATCGTCTTATAGTTCAAGTTCTACCAAATTATATTAGTTGTTTTAATGGATTCTTTAATTGCATTGGCTAATTTTGATAAGAACCGATGCAAGCAGTCACCCCGGAGTGGGGCTAGTTCTAGCAGGGGCAGAGGAGTGGGCAGCAGCGGTGGTAACCGCTGGAAGAGGCACGTTTGATGAAGAAAGGCAGTAGCGCGGAACCATCCCAGCAGCTTGTCCCCCCGTATGATAGATGATATATATTAGGGAGTTCGATGGATTCCCTGTGATGAGGCCATTAGAGGTGTATGATGCTGTAGTGGCAAGGAGTCACAACAGGAAGAGGACTACGAGTCATCCTCGTGGATGAGGCCGAATATGAGCGGTTTCCCATGTTTTAATTTTCTGGGAGTAAATTATTGGAAATGGTCGGAGTCTCGGAGATACCCTCAAATTTTCTCCCTACTCTCTTTTAAGCGCTCCTTCAGTCCTTAAATACTGACATATCCAAGCAATTTTAGGACATATTATGTGTAACCCTATCAAATTACCATATTTGGATCGATATATATATATTAATGGTTGGTATGCATTTGAATGTTGTCTCTTGAAGGGTTTGTACATCTAGAATCTCTTATAATTTGGAACAAATTTGAATGCTTGAATAGGGAGGGGGTAGAATAATCATAGATTTGGCAGGTAATTAATCTGAAACTGTTGGTGATGCTCTAACAATGTCACTATCTAGATAATTGCTCGTGTCCGATGATACTAGCCCGAAGAAACTCCCAAAATATGCCTTATATCTTGGGAGTCACACTGAGACTGGCTTTTCGCATGAGCAAGGGTCTGGCTAGAGTATACACACCCTAACTATTAGACCGAGGGATTCAAAAGACAATGAGTTAGCTAGCTTATTTTTATCTCATCGCTCATGCATGTTTATCCTTGAGAAAAAACCAAACTTGCATCTCCCCCACCCAACATATGCATGACATATTTCGCAGCTCATCTTCACACCACAACTCTATTTGTATTTTGTCGATAGAAAACAAACTCAGACGGACTAAAAAACAGAGCCTCGAGAGTTACTCTCTCGTTCCATTTTATCTAATGCAAGTTAGAATGATATGACCTCTTAAATTACACTTTTATCATTTATTTGTTTTATATTATATTATTTATGTTTAACTTGAGTACTATTTTCTGTGCCGATCGAAGTATATTAAACTGTTGACCGTATCTACTTTAACGAAACACCTGATTTATATATTAACTCTGACCGGGCTGCCCGCCTTCCACTTTAAAACAAGAAAGAACGTTACATCACGCACACACGCGCACCAAAGCCAAGCCCAGCACTCGACACCACCACACCACAGCGCGCACACGCACCGAGCCGCGTGCACACGACACGCACCTCGCGGCGGCAGCGGGAGTAGATCGATGGGGAGCAGCGGGGGCAGCAGCGAGCACTTCCTGCGGCAGCTGAGTTCGAGCGACGGCGGCGGCGCGCCGCACCAGCTGCAGCAGCGGGAGTGGGAGTGCGGCGGCGGCACCGGCACCGGCAGCAGGCGCGGGTCGCGGCGCTGGTCCAGGAAGAAGGCCAGCAGGGCGCGGGGACACCGCCGGTTCTGCAGGACGGAGGAGGCTGCGGCGGCGGCGGGGCGGAAGCGGGTGATGGTGGTGGTGGACCAGAGCTCCGGCGCCAAGCACGCCATGATGTGGGCGCTCACCCACGTCGCCAACAAGGGCGACTTCCTCACCCTCCTCCACGTCCTGCCGCCGCAGAGCGGGAGCGGCGGTAGCGGTGGCAGCCGCGGCGTTGCGGAGGACGCCTCCGCGCTCGCCAACTCCCTCGGCGCGCTTTGCAAGGCCTGCAAGCCTGAGGTGCGTCTAGCCGTCTACTTCTTCACTCATGCGCAGCTTGTTTCTACATGTTTTTTTTTGACAACTTGTTTCTACATGTTGTATACTTGTATCCACAGTAAACAGATATAAGGCATGCTCGTCGCATTTTGTTTCAGAACTTTTACACTGAAATGAAGAGATAGGTGTTTGACGTTCTCATTTAGCATTTGATTCGGCAAATATATGGACATTGCTTTGGAGTTCATTTTAAGACTTCTGAGCATGCCCGTGAGGTGTTCAACAATGTGCATTATGACCTTAATCTGCGCTAACAATAATAAGGCACGGTTTGGATTGCGGGTTTTTTTCCCGTTTCCTGCGGTTTTTTTTCCGTAAAAACAAGTTGATTCTTATAAAATCTCTGAACAATTTCTATAAAATTCCTACGATTCCCAGAGACCCAAGAGACTGAACTTTCAAGCTCACAATTGCAGGGAGTTGAATCTTGATGGAAATAAAAAATGCTACCTTTACCGAGAACAGTGTTAGTTAGTCCAAACTCAAAAGCTTTGCTTCTTTATGCAATTTCATGTGTGTTTTTCCGAAATTTGTTTTTTAGCCAATTTTAGTCCAAACTCAAAAGCTTTGATTCTTTATGCAATGCATGTGGTGAAATTTGTACTTACAGAGTCATACGGTTGGCCCTGTGGCTTTTTCTTGGATCAAGTTGTTTGGGTTCTTGGGCCACTACTGACTGACTGCCTGGACGCAAGAGTTATGCGAGTAGGTGGCTAGATCTGATCCGAACGTTCATGAAAAGAGATGCCATCATAGCCACCCTTTTATTGATGGATCATGGCAGGCCTAAAGCTAAAAAGGTTTCATCTTCCTAAAAAGCAAGATGCTCAGAATTATATCCTGGTCTCCCAAACAATTGAGAAAGAAATACCTTTATTAGGAACTAATAACAAGTACAGTCTCTGCACAAAATTTTCTGACCTTGTTTAATAGGAACTAATAACAGGTACAGTCAAACTGTAATTTTTTTCCCCTTATGCCTTATCGTTTGTTTGTACAAAAGAAAAACTACTGTGGCATATTTCAGTGTACTTGAGTCACTGTGTGTTGCAGTGGAAGCATGCGCAGCTGCTCGTCTTTTAGCCCGTGAAACGGGTGTGTTCATGCATCACGATATCTGATCTCTGGTGCGATATGATACAAAATTGTTTGGTGATGGACGTTACAGGTGGAGGTGGAGGCGCTTGTGATCCAGGGGCCCAAGCTGTCGACCATCCTCAGCCAGGTGAAGAAGCTGGAGGCGTCCGTGCTGGTGCTCAGCCAACGCAAGCCGTCGCCTTTCTGCTGGTAAGCACTGCCACTGCACTGCACACACACACAACATGCATGTCATGTGCACGCACCGCCTTCTCATCCAATCCGCCTGCGATGTGTCCCTCGTCACGGATCGGATCATTCAGAGTATTTCAGTTGGCCTGTGCCGTGCAAAGGTGAAAGAGGGAGGGGAGGGAATAGAATCTCGCGGAGCTGGCACAGCCTATCACACTGCTCTTCGTGCCCATTATTCTTCAGAATTCAGAAACTAATGCCTGAAACTCCCATAGAGCATCTACTGTATATTTTTAGCAGCTGAAGTTTTCTTTCTTGGTAGCAAGAAAGAACTGTTTGACAAGCTGTCAACGTTAAGATGAACATGAGACCAGTGTAGGGACAGGGATGGGATGGTCAAAAACGTACTAGCAGACAGCAACAGCCATGTGCCATCCATAAACCGGAGATGCCTTTCCCTTGTCCTTGCAGTTTAAATTCGATTCGATCTCCCGAATGGAGCAAAGCAACCAGCAAGAACCGTAGGGGTACTACTGTCACTGTGTGCCCTGGCAGTCGTTGCTCTTGTACGCCTGTGAAAGTAAAAACATCCGGAAAGAAAAGTTTAAAACCACACGAAAAAGCTTACATACAGCGTCAGAAAAAGTTACTATGGGAAAGTCACCTTTTCACCACTTGTATAAGCTTCCATGTTTATGTATCTACCTGCTAGTAGAGTAGTAGATTGCTGATGCGTGGGTAGCCGTTGTGAACAAACATTGCAGCTTCCTGCGGAGCAGCAGCGAGGAGCTGGTGGAGGAGTGCATCAACCGGGCGGAGTGCCTGACGCTGGCAGTGCGGCGGCAGAGCAAGGGCGTCGGCGGCTACCTCGTCAGCACCCGGTGGCAGAAGAACTTCTGGCTCCTCGCTTGATCGATCCACAAGGCCTCCGCCTCCCTCCTTGGATGCAAGATTTTACTGCCCGGGCTAAGCTTTTCACAAGGCCAATAAGTAACCACTACTGCATCTGTTGATCTACTATAACCTCCAGTGTCCTAGGGTGTGCCAGTGTGCGTGTGTGCCTGATCCTCTCTCTCTCTCTCTGATGCGCTGCTGTATTCTATCGTCTTGGTTTAGCTGTGCTGCTGTAGCTGTTGTGTAGTAAAGCCAGAAGCTGACCTGTCTGTTCTGCAGGGAAATCTGTCTGTTTGTAGAGCAGGGTGCAGGAAACTAGAATTTGTGTATTGTGCGATGTGTTTGTTTGCTTGCTGAAATGCTAAGTACGGAGTTCCATAATGAACTGATGATGTGTTTGACCAACTGTCCCCTCTTGCTCTCTCCATGTTGTCCTGCCCTAATATGCTCTCCAAAACGCTGGAAGCCAATTGTGTCAAACAAACTTGATTCCATGTCAAAGCTAAACTTGCTAATCGTAGTGAGTAGTGACTGCCTACAACTACAATAGGACGACAACCCCGGTTAAACCCTCGCCCCCCACCTGGCCCAGATCAATAACGCGCAGCAGTGACTGGTTCAGAACTTCAGATCAGGCAGGCTCCTAAACACGGTCGGCATGGTAGTCACCACTCACCAACAACGCACGGTGTCCCCGTCCCCAGTCCCCAGACCCGAGCCCAGGATCCGAGAACAAACCGGTCGGCCTCGGCCTCGGCCCACGCGGGGACGCCGACGGATGGAGCGATGGACACAGCGACAAATCCGGCAGGCAGTCAGGGACCATTGCTGGCTTGCTCGCCTTGAATCTTCTTCACTGCAGCACAGGGGGCGAGCCGGTGGTGTGTCATGTGTGTGTGGCGCCAGCACAATTATGGCCCGCGCCCCGCGGATCGGAGGTGGCAAAGCTGACGGGAGCCGGATGGTCGATCGTCCCCGCGACCCCGCCCCGCGGCCCGCGCCCGTTCCCGCTCCGCTCGGCGGCATCGCGGCGTCATGATGGTGCGTACCGGGGCGACTGGTGCGGCGAGGCTTTTACCACCACGGGTGCTGGGTGCAGGCGGGGCTCATCATGAACCATCATTCCCGGGAGTTGAAGGCTGGCTGGCTGGCTGTGTTAGGTCTCAGCCGCTCCGCTGCGGTCGTCTGCGGAGCAATTCACTCCGGCTGCCCTGATTGCGGCAGTTTCGTACGCTTCCCTGTGCCGTCGTGATGGTGTACAGCGAAGTAGCGAACCTTTTGCTTTTCAGTTCTACTGTTCGATCTCGTGCTGGAAGATGAAGAAGACGACGTTCCTTCCCGGCCTCGTGATGGTGTACGGTGAACTTTTTCTTTTCAGTTCTATACTGTTTGATCTCGTGCTGTAAGGTGAAGAAAAGGTAGTAAGGGTATAGAAGATGCGCAAACTGACCATGAAAAGAAAATTCTTGGACCTTTTTGAAGGCAGGAATTTTATATAAATTTCATTCACAGGAAACAGTTATTTTTCATAGAAAAAAATGTAGAAAATAGGAAAAATTCTCGTGTTCTAAAGAGGGCCTAAACTAGTTCCCAAAAAAAAAAAGAGGGCCTAAACTGAAAACTGGTTGATAGTAGCAGAAAAGAGAGCTATTACATACTAGGCGATGTTGAATCTCTTTAAGGTCGTGATTTTTCTTCTTCTTATAATCAGATTCTTATTGAAAAGAAAACAAGAATCCTACCGGACGCTTTGATTAAGATCGCCACTTTAGAATTTATTTTAAGAAATCACTTCAGAATTTTGAACTGGTACAATCAAGATTTAAGAATCGAAAGAGCCAGCAGATATGATGATTATAAACGAATTGATTATGAGCAACATATCCCGGGATCTACATTTCAGCTTGTCTAAGCGCCGCGTGCGTGCTCACCATCCGAAACGCTGTTCGCGTCGATGTTCATGACCATGCTGTAAACGATTTATGACCCTCTTAATGAAACACGTGTCAACGGGTACATTCTCCAAAAAAAAGATTATAAGCTAAAAAAATGGTCTAATAATGGAGCTTGAGCTGAGCTCAGCATTTGGAGCCCCAGTCCCCAGAGGCCAGAGGCCTTTTAAGCCAGGCTCTTAAGTGTGCCGATGAATTACATTCATCTCACGGGAGGCTCTCGACGCCTTCCGAGCGTTTGATGTGACACCCAAAATTTTTCACCTCACCAACTCCTAATAGCTTGTTGGACCACAGCTCTCACCAGCATGGGATGGGCTGGAGACAGCGGCCTTGAGCTGAGCTCAGCATTTGGAGCCCCAGTCCCCAGAGGCCAGAGGCCAGAGCCAGGCTCGGTGTGCCGAACACAACGGGAGGCCGCGAGTGTTTGGTTTGCGGGCTCCTCTTGGACCACAGCGGGAGCATGGGATGGGCTGGAGACAGCGGCCCATAGACATGGGTCCCCCTGCGGGCTGCGGCGCCTTGTGGCTCTGCGGCGTCGTTCGGTCCGGCGTGTGCCGTCGTGCCAAACTCGACATTGACGTTGCTTCTCTATCGCAAACCACCACCAGAAGCAGCACGCAATGACGCAAGTACTGGCCACTACCTGGCCGTCCGTAAAAAATGTGATTATAGAATCGTGCCGCTCAAAGTAGCTTAAACTTAACCAAGTATATAATAAATAGTACTAGTATTTATATTTTTAAATAAATTTATTATGAAAATATATTATATAACTAATCTAATGGTATTTATTTTATCTCATGAGTGTTAGAATACTTTTTCATATAAATTTAATCAAAATTTAGACTATTTGATTTTTTGAAATGTGAAAATTATATTCTTCTTTGTCGACGGAGGAAGTACCTATAGAGTACAGACCACAACGACGTATCGACGCGTCTCTGCAGTTGGTGCACCTCGTTGCCAACTGACGGCCATCGCGTCTAAAAATGGCCATGCCCATAGCCAAAAATTGGCTAGAATCTGAAATCCCGATGGCACGCCCTGATCGATCACGCGGAGCAAAGTGGAGAACTGGAGACCTAATTTTTTATAATTTGGTCTTTTTTTTAAGAAAATTTATGTTTTGTCCCCTGGAGACGTAAACTCATCTTTAGACTCTAGGGTCGGCGCCATGACTCATGGCTCCGACGTAATATGTCTCGACGCCACAGATCTTGGCTCCGAGGTGTATGACCATGCATAGCAGGGCATCCTAAGTGGCGTTGACGTGGCTGGTACTTCAGAGCCACAGATCCAAGCTCGGCGCCAAGATCTGTGGCTATGAGCTCAAGTCGTGGATCTCGACTCCGAGGTCGGAGCCATGGATCCTGGTGCCAAGCATGAATTCAAAACCCACAGCCAGGTTTCCATTGCCGAGGTTGCTTTCTAGCGCTTTTTTCAAGCACACCACTGCACTAATGTATCTCTAACGCTTTTTTTCTTATAATGCTCCACCACCACCATTTCTGTCCGAGCCAGAAGTGGCGACGGCCGGCCGGCTTTGTGCTGTGTTGGGGGTTGAGCCGCCTCGCGCTCGTGCCCTTTTCTTGTGATGACTTGTGAGCATGGCCGCCGGCGGCCAGCGTTATCACGTACGTAACGTACCCAGGGTACGTACATGCATGCAAGACCGATGTGTAGTACCGTGCTTCTCCCGCCGGGTACGTTGGAGAATTATGGCGAGCGGTGCTTTTGACGAAAAACGATGTGAATACGTGCCTTTTTTTCCCTGGCCTGAAATTTCCTAACCCGATCTTCTAAGAAGAATTATATCGTCGTTGCGATGACTGAATTGTATGACATGAAAAACATGTCTGGCTGCTTGCGTGGCCACATTTCCTTATGGTCGGCTTATTAGGCACTCTCTTCATTCCCAAATTATAAGATTCCAAAATTTTTGGAGAGTTAAAGCATCTCGAGTTTAACCAAATTTATATGATAAGATAATAATATTTATGATATCAACTAAATATCATTAGGTTCTTCATTAATTATATTTTCATAGTATATTTATTTGATATTATAAATATTTATAATTTTCTCTATAATTTTGCTCAAACTTGAGAGACTTTGACTCTTTAAGACTCTTAGAATGACTTGTAATTTGAAATGGATGGAGCATGAAACTATGTATGTACGGGTCCTTCTGCATACACGATGGTGATGTTACTCGTTAGGTATCGATGTACGAATTCGGTTTTGAGTAGCACTGCAACAGAAATTTATTGCTGCTGCTCGATCAGCAAATTCAGTTCGAATGCAACCGTTTGATCTCAGGGCGTTTACGACGATGGTGCCATGGTAGCCATCTCAAGGCAAAGATGGTGAACGAAAATTAAGAAAAACTCTGGTGTCAAATGGCATGCTACAGCACTAACATACACTCTATTTTTACATATTTCAACCGCTTGATTTTCCAAGGGACCCACATCATCGGCTGAGTCTAATAAATATTTGGCTGAGCTTTGGCCGGCTAGCTGATACTCGCATGCTCATTGATTAATAAGCGTTGGTAGCCTGCCCCGTCGCCACTTCTGGCTCGGACAGAGACGGTGGTGGTGGAGCATTATAAGAAAAAAGCGTTAGAGATCCATTGGATTTTGTGTATTGTGGTTTGGCAAATAGTGTTCAATCATGACAAATTAGACTTAAAATGTTCGCAGTAATTTCCCACCAAACCCGAAAATTTGGCCGTTTAATTTTGAATCTACACTCGTCATCAGGATCTTTTAATTGGCCAACTAAACAAGGGCTTAGATAGTGTACTGGTGTGCTTGAAAAAAGCGTTAGATAGTGTAGTGGTGTGCTTGAAAAAAGCGTTAGAAAGCAGTTTCGGTAAGGGAAATTTGGCCATGGGTTTTGAATTTATGCTCGGCGTCAGGATGCATGGCTCCGAGCAAGCCACAGAGCGTCGAGCTCGGAGTCAAGATCTGTGGCTCCGAGGTACCGGCCACGTCAACGCCAAATAGAATGCCCTGCTGTGCATGACCAGGCACCTCGGAGCCAACATTTGTGGTGCTTAGAGTTACTACCTACTTGGCGCGAGTCCCCCCGCAAGGTCTAAAAATCTAAAGATGAGTTTACGTCTCCTATAGGCCAAACATAAATTTTCTTTTAAAAAAGACTAAATTATAAAAAAATGGGAACCGGAGATAGGCCAGCGGGCACCAGGCAAAAACGCGAGAGGTCCATCCCCGCACGTCTCGAGGACCACCAAATATGGTTCACTGATCAGTGATCAATCGGGTCGCCGTCCTACTCCTACTCCTACCCCTCGGCTACGCACGCCAGCCATTCGGCAGCGCACGCGACGCGGATGCCGGATGCTTCACCGGGGCGGGCGTGCACATTTCAGACGAAATGCATATATGGTGGCCCGTTTATTTGTGTACCGGCACTGCGCAACTGCCTTCTAGTTGGAGCATCCCCGGTTTTCGACTTCAACGGCCGGGAAGGACGCGAGCCGTGGCACAACTGTCCATCATCGTCACAAGGTCGCGGTTGTCATCACTGGTCAATCATGGTCGCCGTCCGAACTGAGAGTGGGATGCAGCGACCAACTCTTGTTGGACACTAAAAGCGTGTTTGTTTGAGGGATCGACTCATCTAGCTAGAATGGAGTGGTCCACCTTAGGTTCGCGGAGCTTATCCATCATCAACCCTGTCATTAAGCTGCTGATGAGTACCCTATCAGAAAAAGGTTCATTAGTACAAACAGCATTTGTGACTTCCAAAAAAATGTGACTACAAAATTAAGAAAACACAAAAGCGCGTGAGAACGCCGAAGTCATGCATATATGGTGTGTTAATAAGGGCGTGTTTAGTTTCGAAAATTTTTGGCTTTTGCTACTGTAGCACTTTCGTTTGTATTTGGCGAAAATTGTCCAATTATAGACTATTTAAGCTTAAAAGATTCGTCTCACGTGTTTTAATACTCCATGAATTTTGGATTTTGGGTAAGATATCTTCTTCTGTTTCCATCAGACCCCAAAGCCAGATACTCATTCACACAAGAAATGGAACAAATTAATTAATAACTGGCCAACTTTATCATATAGACACACATATAGCAAGCCAGCAGGAGATATGCGGGCATCCCGGCAGTGCCAGCCAATGCTCTGCAAACGTGCCCGTTTCTGCTGCCTCCTCACTTCCTCAGGTATAAGTAGCAGAGAGGAACACAAAGAAGCAACTGCAAGGAACGATCGAACTGGTCCGGGAGCCGGGAGGTCCAGGCACGAGACCAGCAGATCGATCATCACCAAGGATACCGTGGGAGAGAGTGAGTGAGAGAGAGATGGCCGTCGCCAAGGAGGTAGTCGCCGTCGTGACTCTGCTTCTCGGGCTGACGTCGTGCACGACATCATCGACGGCGGCGGCGACGGCAGGGACAGGGAGTGCGCGATGGAGGGAGGAGGACTGTGGTGGTGTGCGGGGAGAGGTGACGTACGACCACAGGGCCCTGGTGCTGAACGGCACCAGGAGGTTGCTGTTCGCCGGGGAGATGCACTATCCACGGAGCACGCCGGAGGTAATGCTGCTGCTGCTGCTGCGTGCCTGCACTTTTTCTTGCATAATTTTGCTCCCTGTTGCTCAATAAGATCGATGTCAGCTGTATTGCTATTTTATATTTCGGGCGGGCGCGGGAGTTTTACCTGAGTCTCAGTCGTTTGATTGCGCGTACGTGTACGTCTTTGTGTTAGAACAAAATGGATCCATGAGGGACGATATGAAACGCTTATAGATTTGTACATTATTCTGGTTTAGCCTCACGGTTTGAGATTCAGGGTATTTTTTTGGAGGATCGGAGCAGCGATCGACGTGGAAGTATGCACGGTCGTTACGTACGAATAGTCGAGTAGGCTGGCACTAGAGATGTACAAATGCTCCGCCGGCTCTAACAAGTGACAGATGGAGGATCGGACTGCAGGCGTGTTTGCCTCGGCCCACCCGCCCGCGCCTCTCGCTCATCGTCATCGGTTTTTGGCGCTCGGCCTGGCGGACCGTGCGTGGCGGCGGCACACTGGCATCCACGGCGTCGGCGCGGCGTGCGTGTTCCACCGCCCCCCGGTGCTCATGGCAAACGCTCGCGCGCCGGACGCACTGCCCAGTGCCCACGGCGCCCTTGGTACTGAATCGCCTGTGGCTAGTGCTGCAACCATTTCGCTAGCTAGTCCTAGTGGAAGTTGGAGTGGACGATCAACGCCTCCACGATCCACCCTCCCGGCCGGCTTTAACGAAAGGCCCGGAAGCGAAAATTAAAAGAAACGCCGCATGCAGGTTGCAGGGCGCAGGCACAACTGCTTCCGGTTGATAAAACAACATTGATTGAAACACACCATTAGTGATATGATCACCGCGTACTGGAAAGCGCAAAAGCGGAAATAACCTAGGTACGTCAACGTGATTGCCAACTGAAAGTTGGAAGCCGTGACCTGCCCCTGCTGCTCTTGATCTCTTCTCTGTTCTCTCGCATGCTAGTTATTGCCGGTTGCTCTGTTATTCACTCACTTGACTTGAGCATGGTATGGATGCATCTCTGCCTCCACACGTTCAAGTTCGAGTGAGCTAGCTAGCTAGTAGTCCGGTGGTAGCATACTCGCTAGTACTGCACGTTTCGTTGGTGCTGGGCTTCCAAGCACAAGGCTGACAAATCTATACAGAAACGAGAATATATTCTTTCTGAGTTCTGACACAATTAAAATCGGGCTTGCTCGTGAGCCTGGCTACATACTGGAACGGCTTGTATTGTATTCTTGGATCGAGGCCACACAAGTGGACGCATGTGCCTCTACGACAACCATGGCTCCGCCGACGCCGGCCATCCTCCCTCCTGCAGGTCCGGCATCGTGGGATGCGGCTGCCTGCCGTAGCTCGGTGCCTCGGTGTCTCCTTCGATGTTGCAGCATCAAGCTTCAGGCTCTGCAGCCTGGCAATCTTCAAATTCCTTGCATGTGACATAATTGGCTATTGGTCAACTTATCTAGCGTGGGAACATGGAACATTTCAGTATTTCACAAGCACGTTCAGAATGGAATATCTGAAACTATACACCTTCATGGATTCTGTCTTCACAAATTTTGCACACAAACAGAGCAGAGATGTCAGCAATGAGTTTAAGAAACTGAGCTGACTTTTGAACTTAGTTCTGAAAAAGATGAGTTTCCTATTAAGCTGGTTGTGAATTTCATGGCATGTACTGACATGGCTTGAAATAAAATGGCAATAGCTCTTGTGTGTATTTGCCTATTTGGTACCTGACAATAGCCTCTGAGCAATATCTGTTCACTTCTGAATTTTCATCTTGCATGCTTAACTAATTTGGTCAGTCATTTGGGTTCTGAAGTTATGCTGTGTGAGCAAGTGAACAATTGAACTTTTGATCTTGTCACCTTGCTGTTAAGTGCTGTGACCATGTGCACTTCTGAGAAGGACTGTTATATGAACTTGTTTTGGTTCTCTGAATGCTCTGATAATTTTTTAGGCTGCAAACGATTTGCTCATTATTTGGGTCGCGTGTTGCTGCATTTAGTTTGTTTGCCAGGGATTTTACTACTAGGCGTGTCCGGTGATGCGGCACATGTGTACGCATATAGGTCTACGGCTACACAAAATAAAATAAGGATGAACACATCTCGATCTCTGGTCAAATAACACTTCTCGATCTATTCTAGGGTGCGTGGTATCACTTGTCCAGTGTCCACGGAACATGCAGAGAGTTTTGGGATGCCCCGATCACTGTAAATTGCTAGCTCTATCACGGTTCATCTGAATACACACAGCACGAAACCGACAGGAGGTGTAGAATGTAGAAACCATCTTGACTGCATTATACTCTTACTTCCACACTCCACAGTCAATGCGAAGTGTTGAAACTGCCGTTCTCGAGGCTGCACTAGCAGGGGACAAGATGCAAATATCTGTAAGCCTATTTGCTACTTGTAATAACGTGTTTAGCACTCTACTCTTGTTGGTGGATACGATGCGATATGAGACCCAGAGATCTATACTGCATGGGATCACTCGTTTGCCAATTGTTTGCAGTTCATACCTTGACCAAAATTTGCAGCGCCGTCGACGAGATTTGGCAAAAGGTAGATTAGAGACGCTTAGCGTAGACATGCATGACTTCCCCCAACGTCTCAGCGTGTATATATATGTGCATATACAAAGCGTCTCCCTTTCAACTGACTTGAGCATAGAGACGGGAAGCCGGCCCTGAACTACATATCCTAGTGATCATAGAAATGCCAATAAACATTGCCACCACAGCGTTGCTCGCTGTGTTGGCAGCCTTGTTGTGCATGCCACCGGCCGCGGTGGTGGCAGAGATCCGGTGGCCGGAGGAAGATGGGGTGGCAAGACAGGTGTCGCTGGATGCTAGGGCCTTGGTAGTTGATGGCACCAGGAGGCTGCTGTTCGCCGGTGAGATGCACTACACCAGAAGCACCCCTGAGGTTAGTGCACGCCATTGCCTGGTGGGAAAAATGCCAAAGAAAATCTGTAATCTCTATCATCGGCAATTTATCTTTGCATAAGTGATCATAGATATCAAGTTGATTATAATTCGATGCGGTTCAAAGCACAACTAGTATGATCGATCATATCAGGGAGCTGATGGACATGAGCTGCTCCCAATCACCCAGAGCCACTGCATAGTGTACCCACCCCAACTAGTGGTCTGGCCACCGTTATTATATCAAGCTCAGAGCAGATCTGGAAGAGCTACGGAAATACTTCTTGTTCATTGCAAAAGAGTGGTTTTACATTAGTTTCTGTATGCCACCAAGCTATTTAAGCCCATTTCACAGGAGCGCTCAAGCAGAGAAAAAAATTACTTGTCTCCTCTAATTGCCCTCACTGACCTTACATATAATATTGCCATTTCTACAAGCACACATATTTTATAAAAAATTATAAATTAGAAACCGTGTGTCATACAAAATTACAAATGGCATGTTTTTTTCTGTGGTGTACACACTCATTTGGGAACACCTCAGTATTTTTTTGGTGTGTCATTCAGAGTGACCAGCAATCCTGAGTTCAGGATTATGATAATCACAGCTGAATTGGCTTAGAGGCCAGGGTGCCAGGCATTTCAGAAAATAAGGGCATGCACACACAAAATCCTTTGGTTGAGAGTTATAGGCAAGAATATGTAATGCAAACAAAAGTATATAGGACAAACTTCAAATATAATAAATGAACTTAGTAACATTTTCTGGCTTATGCGCTGCATGTTTCAGTTATACCTTTTCTTCTTAAAAAGTTCTCGAATAATTGCAGATGTGGCCAAAACTCATTGCTAAAGCAAAGGAAGGTGGCCTTGATGTGATACAGACCTATATATTCTGGAATGTTCATGAGCCTGTCCAGGGCCAGGTAGACGCTCTTCTCAGTTTCATATGAACACCGGTCAAAGCACCTGAAAAATATCCTGTGAGAGGCCAAGTACTAAGAGATGTGTAATTTGTAAATGGTATCATTTCACCAGTACAACTTCGAGGGAAGATATGATCTTGTCAGATTCATCAAGGAAATTCAAGCTCAAGGCCTCTACGTAAGCCTCAGGATTGGTCCCTTCATAGAGTCTGAATGGAAATATGGGTATGAATGAAATAAATACAACAAAGCATATATTCTCGCTGAACTAAAATATTTTAGAGAAGCATCTCAAAAAAGATTTAAGGAACTATATAACATCTAAGTAAAATAAAACTAGATATTACCTCAACAAATGCTGAATATCTTTTGTTTGGTCCATGCAGAGGATTTCCATTTTGGCTACATGATATCCCAAACATTATCTTCCGAAGTGACAATGAACCCTTTAAGGTAAGCAAACTTGTGATGTGGGATTTTTAAACTCAGTTTTTTTTTTAATGAAAGACCAGACAAATAGTAGGGTTCCATTTACCAAGATCCAAATGAAGCACTACTTTAGTACTTTCATCAATAATTTATCATGATAAAACCTGTTTAAAGGCATCATACTAAATTACTTACATCTGATCTATGCAGCAACATATACAAAGATTTGTTACAGATATAGTAAACATGATGAAACATGAAGGGCTTTACTACCCACAAGGAGGCCCCATTATAACTTCTCAGGTCTGTAAAATAACAAAGTTATCGATTTTTGGCGTGTACATCATCTAACTACATAAATTATATGCAGATTGAGAACGAATACCAAATGGTTGAACCTGCATTTGGCTCAAGTGGGCATCGTTATGTCAGTTGGGCAGCTGCAATGGCTGTAGACCTTCAAACAGGTGTTCCCTGGACGATGTGCAAGCAAAATGATGCTCCAGATCCAGTTGTCAGTATTCATTCTCATACTATTCCACTTGACTTCCACAATGCTAGCAGAAAGTTCCAACGAGTCTCATAACAACTTCATGATTAGATCAATACATGCAACGGGCTCATTTGTGGAGAAACATTTGTTGGACCAAACTCAGCTAACAAGCCTGCATTATGGACAGAAAATTGGACCTCACGGTATATGTGCTACAATATTTTCACTTGTTAATTTAACATTTTCTAATCGTTATGGAATACAACATGCTTAATGGTAGAATGTTCATGCATCCAGCTATCTTATTTACGGTAATGATACAAAATTGAGGTCTCCAGAAGATATCGCCTTTGCAGTTGCATACTTTATAGCAAGGAAGAATGGAAGCTATGTGAGCTACTACATGGTATTAACTTCCTGAAACAGAATTGAATATTTCCTAGAAATACCTCAGTTTTTTTTTTTTGTTGATTATCACAAAATAACTTTGTTGTTGTTGTTGTCTACTGATTATGATAAAGTATCATGGAGGAACAAACTTTGGGAGGTTTGCTTCTTCATATGTAACAACGAGCTACTATGATGGAGCTCCTCTCGATGAATATGGTAAATATTTGCACAAAATAGAAGCGTGCTAAACATATTTACACAATTTTGATAATAAATTATCACATCAAAAAATTTAATTGAATCATATCCAGGTTTGATATGGCAACCAACATGGGGTCATCTCAGAGAACTGCATGCTTCAGTAAAACAGTCATCAGAACCACTACTATTTGGGACATACTCCAATCTTTCTTTAGGTCAAGAACAAGAGGTAAAATTACAGAAAGGAAAAGTTGATACTTTATTTCAATAGACTCCGCCAAGATAAGGACATAATGTATGATGTACTCCAGGCACATATTTTTGAAACAGAATCACAATGTGTGGCTTTCCTAGTCAACTTTGACCGGCATCATATATCAGAAGTAGTATTTCGTAATATATCACTGGAACTGGCCCCCAAATCAATCAGCATTCTCTCAGATTGTAAGAGAGTAATTTTTGAAACAGCTAAGGTGAGTAAACCTACATACCGTTTATGGCATATCCTTTATTTTTTCCCTCTATAACCACAGGATAGAGGAAGATGTCTTCATTGTCCGATTTTTGCGTGTGTCACAGGTAACTGCTCAGCATGGATCAAGAACAGCTGAAGAAGTGCAGTCTTTCAGTGACATTAATACTTGGATGGCATTCAAGGAACCAATTCCACAAGATGTGAGTAAAGCTACGTACAGTGGAAACCGGCTCTTTGAACATCTATCAACCACAAAAGATGATACTGATTATCTATGGTACATTGTTGGGTAAGATAAACTTTCCCAAAGATCTTTTGCTCCATCATTTGATCTTCTTTACGACAGTTACTTGTTTCATCACTATCTTAAACACGTGATAAGGGAAAACTCTCTCAAATGCAGCTATGAATATACACCGAGTGATGATGACCAGCTTGTACTGATTAATGTTGAGTCAAGGGCACATATATTGCATGCCTTTGTCAACAATGCATATGTGGGCAAGTATCTTACTATCTTATTAAATTACTGTGGTTTTCCCAAAGTTCTTCAAGTATATTTATCTCTTTATGAAACCATACAATGTTCCAGATTACATTATTATTTTTGTTACAATTAATGCGTTAAATTATATGTATGCTCTAGAAGTGTTCCCTCTTATCTAATTTGTGTTTGATATAAGTCTTTTCCATGACATTTTAGGTAGAATACATGGGAGCCATGGTGGACCTGCCAATATCATTCTCAACACGAATATTTCTCTAAAGGAAGGGCCAAACACCATATCATTGCTAAGTGCTATGGTTGGATCACCGGTATAAATCATATAACCCTACTATGTAGTGAACTATAAACAATTAGCAATTAGGGAAAACTAAAAGTGGGGATCAAGATGTTCTACAATGGCCAATAGGTCCTCCACATACAAAGTAAATAGTGTATCAAACTTGTGATAAAACTTTGTTATCCAATCAGCTTTACATAACATATGTTGTCAAAGTAAATGGTGTATCAAACTTGTGATAAAACGTTGTTATGAGATCAGTTTTACATAGCATATATTGCCAAGCACAAGTACCGAAACTTTCAAAAGTAGATGCCGTTGAATAACATGCATTCAATATACTGAGCTTTCATCTACTAACTTAAAGGATTCCGGTGCTCATATGGAAAGGAGAGTATTTGGAATTCGGAAAGTGAGCATACAACAGGGACAACAGTCAGGACATCTACTCAACAATGAGCTATGGGGGTACCAAGTAAGTCAAAATCAAGTTATTATTATAAATGAAAATAGAGGCCAATATTAGATGCATGATTTGAGTTTTCTTACAAAATGCAGGTTGGCTTATTTGGGGAAAGGAATATCATCTACACACAAGAAGGATCAAAAAGTGTTGAATGGACAACTATCGACAATATGGCATATAGCCCACTTACTTGGTACAAGGTATAGAGTACAGAACAATGGTTCAAAAATTCCCGTCTGTCCATTATTTACAGAAGTGAACCATAACTGGCATCATTTGTTCTGTGACCCAGACTACATTTTCCACACCTGCGGGAAATGATGCAGTGACACTGAACCTTACTGGTATGGTTAAGGGCGAAGTATGGGTCAACGGAGAGAGCATCGGACGATACTGGGTCTCTTTCAAGGCTCCTAGCGGCAATCCTTCGCAATCTCTGTAAGTAGAGTTAGTTCCAACTCCCGCTCTCTCGCCACTATATCCTTCTCTTCCCTACAATTTCACAAGCAAATGTTTCACTGACCCAACATTCCTAAGGTATCACATACCCCGGCAATTTCTAAACCCTCAAGACAATATCCTGGTCCTTTTTGAGGAAATGGGAGGCAACCCACAACAGATAACAGTGAACACAGTGTCGGTCACAAGAGTGTGTGGCAATGTGAATGAGCTCTCTGCTCCATCGCTTCAATACAAGGATAAGGAACCAGCAGTCGATCTCTGGTGTCAGGAAGGCAAACAGATCTCGGCAATTGAGTTTGCAAGCTACGGAAATCCTGTAGGTGACTGCAAAAGATTTGGTTTCGGAAGCTGCCACGCAGGATCATCGGAATCTGTTGTAAAACAGGTCAGAACACAGCCAAATCATCTCTAAGCTATCCAGAGCTATGCAATAATGTTCTGTCATATTAGCTAGTTTGTATAACTTCTTTTAGCTTTTTCAGGCTTGCTTGGGTAAAAGTGGGTGCTCTATTCCCATAACACCTATCAAATTCGGAGGCGATCCATGCCCTGGAATCCAAAAATCCCTTCTAGTTGTGGCGAATTGCAGATGACACAAGACAGTCATACAAGTATACATCACAGCAAAGAAATTAGATGAGTATAAAAAATAAAAGATAAGTTGCAAAATCAGTGAGCAGCAGAGAGGAAGGGAAGCATAAATAAATCAAAACAAGCAGCAATTGTTATTAGGCAGGCAGATGATGAATTGAGGCGTATTAGTTGGTAGACCCCATGTGCCAGTTGTTTTGACCTGGCATAGATACGTGTTATCTGTACATCGATTTCGCCTGAATGACGGCTCATTGTTTTATGGTTTATATGATGATTTAGAAATACGCGATATCATTCATTTCTAGCGCCTCCCATAATACGCTATGTAATTCATTTCTAGCGCCTCACAACTGATCGCATCCCCTCGCGCACCGTGCAACTGCCACCGGAAACCGAAACCCTTCGGGTCACCGGAGGTGCGGAACAAACGTGCATCAACACATAAAGGATTAACTAAGGGGAAGAACATTCACTAGTGCAACTAAGGGGAAGAACATCCACTAGTACGTACTCGTACTACTGTACTAGATTGCCAAGGAGAAGAGAAGGAATCACTTACAACAGCGGTCGTCCCTGCCCAAGCAACCAATCCATCCCCGCTGCAGATCCCTGGGACGGAGGCGCTCGGCGATTGCCTGGGAGGGACCGAGAGAGGTGGGGGCTTGCGCCGGCCACAGCTTCCAGGGGTGTAGGTGAGGCGGGCCGGGATCAGGGGGGATCGAAGCCGCGGCGGCCCGTCTACTTGCTTGAGTCCTGTACTCCTGGTACATGTGTTTGGTTTTGAGGACGAAAGGAGATGAATGAGTCGATCCGTGTCCAGTTTTTTTTTTTTTTTGGCGAATGTGTTCAGAGATGTTTGATTTACGGTAAAGCTAAAGGACGCTCGAGCGTTTTGGCGTTTGCGATCACTCGATTTTAGAGCCGTCGATGACGCGCAACCAACGGACAGCATGCACCTGCGGTCGCGGGGCCAGGATGGTTGGGCGCCTGCCGCCTGGGACCATGCGCGGTGGATAGTGGAGACACGGACAACAGGTGTGCATGGTGTGCTCCACGCCGCATGCATGCGGATGATTCGCTGGAAAATTGACCGGGACCCACGCTACAAATTTGTCCCCAGCATTGATCCATGCAGATTTATTCGTACCATATTTTACATTTGTTTAGATGTAAATTTTATATTCAATTGGTGTAAATTGATTATTTATAAACGAGAATGGTTAAAACTACACTAACAGTTATTTAATCTTTTTGGCTTTTTTGTATGTATGTTTGATTTGTTTTATTTGAATTTCTTCCAATTTGTCTTTCATAGAAATTATCTGCAATCTTCTTTTTTATGTTTGATTTGATTTATTTTGAATTTCTTTCAATTTGTCTTTCATAAAAATTATTTGCAATCTTCTTTTTGTATGTTTGATTTGATTTATTTGAATTTCTTCCAATTTGCCTTTCATAGAAATTATCTGTAATTTTTTTATATGCAATTTGTATTTTTCTATGGTTTTGCATTTGTATTTATTTAATTTGTATTTCAAAAATATTATCTGTTAATTTGTTTATAATCTGGTCCCTTAGATGTAGATCCTGTGGTTTTGAAATTCGGGTGATGGCTGGCTTCAAAACACTCGCTTTTTTTTTTGTTTTGTCCATTGGAGTATTTTCGAGAGTTTTGACTAGACAGGCACTTGATTTAGCAACATCGGGGACAGGGATGACAATGGACCTCAATTATCGATTTTACATGTGTTGGGGTGGATTGGGATGGAATATAGTTAAGTTTCACTCCAATCCCCTCTAACACATGTGAATTAATGTGAATCTAACTACATTCAAACAAGGCCTTAGTAGATAAAAACATCATTAATGTCCCACAGGGACTGAAATGTGGATAAAATAGTCTCCACTAGGTCTTATGGAGTTGTGGAGATGAGGACATGTAACCTTTTTCATGTACTCGCCCCATGAAACGCTCTTACTCTTGTGGCTATACAATTTGGTATGAATGGCATTTTTGTATCAATCTATTATATATATATATATATGGTATGAATGACATTTTCATAGAATAACTTATTCTATGGCCACCTTGATTATAATATTTGTATATATATAATATGCATTTACGATATATATTATACAACTATATATTTACCATAATGTATAAATCATTTAGTAAGGCTATAATCTCAGTGATTAGAATAGTAATTATCGAATAAAGTGGCCAATAAGTTATTCTATGGCCAAATTAACAATATATATATATATATATATATATATATATATATATATATATATATATATATATATATATATATATATATATATATATATATATATATATATATATATATATATATATATATATATATATATATATAATATACTAGATATATGGAGATCAGTTGATTTGATATCTTTTGATCATAAGCTGATAGCTTTGTTGATCTATTGGTTGTTTGTCTATTGTTGATTTTCTCGAGAAGTTTACATGGGAATGGAGAATCCCTATCGGGAATGGGGATGGGGAAGAAATGATCCCCTATGACAGCTGCGGGGACGAGGACGGGAACTTAACCTACGGCGTGGAATTCTCTATTAACATCCCTACTAGGAATATGTTCATCCCCTACCTGAAATATCCGGCACATGTATAGTATGAACATGTTTCCTCCAAAACAAGTGGATGGGCTTGTCCTCCTTCTCCATGCGTAGTGGGCACGGAAAAAACGAGGCAAGCTAGGGATCGGAGTGTGTGTCGGTGGAGAGAGAAAAAGGAATGGCAACAATGTGTGAGGCTGTGCTCGGCACAACATAGCTAGGGTGAGGTCGGAATGGGTGTGGCCCAACGTGAGCGAGGCCGGCGATGGCATGTTGTGGGGGTCATGCTCGAAGGTGTGTAACACCTCTGGTGTTTTAAACACTAAAATATGCCATGTCATCATGCATTGCACATTTCTTGTGTTAGTGAAAACTTTGATATGCATTCACTAAAACAAGTTTACTTTTATGATTATATGTATTGACTTGTATGGGATGAATCAAGTTCATAACCTTAGTATGAAATTGGAATTCTAAAACCCTAATTTCCAGCATTTAATAATACCATGGAAAACCTAATTCAAAATCTAAGCATATTTTGGGATTGAGCCTAAAAGGAAAAGTGTAGAGCTTGTCAATGTGTACAAAGTTGGGTTTTAGAGTTTTCAAAGTTGTTATATAAAATTTGAAGTAATTTGAAAGGGGATAAATTCTTTAAGTGTCCCCTTTTGATTTTAAACTTGCATTTTTAAATGTAGACCGAATTAGAGTATGGTTATTAAAGCAAAGTTGTAGAACTTTGAATTTGGAGCAACTTTTATTTTTGGAGATTTTTGAGTTACCATACAAATTTGAAAGTAATTTGAAAAATAAAGCGAGTGGCAATTCGGTAAATATGTTGAACAGTGCAAGCAGGCAGACTCTCGCCGCCGGCAAGCTTCCACCGGCTTCCACGCGCGTCTGTGAGCGACACCTCCTGCTTCGACGTGTCCGCGTTGCCGTTGCGTGTCAAGCGCGCCTGTTCCGCCGCTCTTCGCTCGCCTGTTAAGTCTGGAACACCATCCAGTCGCCCTCTCCTTCCCTCTGTTTTTCGTCAGCACCCCCAGCTCTGACGAGCTCGTGCCAGAGTCACAGAGCTCTCCCAGCCTCAATTGAGCATGTCACCGTGATCGCCACCACCTAGCGCTCCCATATCACCCACTCGCGCAACTTCAATCCCTCTGGTTTGCCCGACGTAACCTCGTCTCCTCCAACTCCGGCGAGGATCCGCCGAGATCCATTTCACCTTGGACAGGGAGTTCGGGTGGGCTTCTTGCTTCATCTTTTGCTGTTTCTTGATCTTCATGCTCTCGTGATGCTCATGAGCTTCATCGTTGATCATTTGGTCAATTGCTTTCCTTAGAACGGAGCTTCACCGTGTGTTCACGCGTCCGCTGTCGTCTCCAACACCGACGACTTAGCTCCGCCTCACCTTAGCTGCCGTTCTCATGCGCATCATCTTCGGGGTGAGCCACTGATCATGCCTGTGTAATCTATTTTACCTCTATCACGCCGTAGCCATGGGACCATGGGACGCCGGTGAGTTTAGCTCCGTCGTGCCGCTGCGCGCGTCGCTGCTTGTGTTGTGGCGTGCTGTTGATTCATTTAAGTGCTCGGTTAAGTCCGTTAGGAGGTGCTGAGTACGTCGTAGACCCTAGCTTGGCTGGCGAAGTCGTAGATCGCCGTCGCCGTCTCGGTAGGACACCGCCGTGCCACCATCATCGCCAGCGAGGCCACTACAGTAGCTTAGATGCTCAACCAGTATCCTCAGTCGAAGCGCAGCGTTGGGGAGGTCATGTTAGTTCACTCCATACCGCCGGACACCTCACCGCCGGCGAGTAATCGCCGGTCAGCGGGCCTCGCCTCTGTGGTCAGCGCGAGCTGACCGGTGGGGTCACCCTGTCAGTGGCCGTTTAAATGAAAATGAATTTCTCTATTTTGCAGAAATGGTTAAATAGTGCTGTGATTTGTTTATTTTGTGTAGAAATAAATAGAGCTCCAAAAATTATGAAAATTTTTGTCTGACCTCTCTGAGATGTGAACTATTTAGGAAAAATATTAAAAGTTACTTTTTAGTACATTTTGAATGTGATAAGAATTGATCAAATTAATTAATAAATGGGATTCCATGATTTTTCTAGGCTTAAATAATTATCCAAAAATTATGAAATTTGTTTTTACACTTAGTTATCATGTGATGAGCCTTCACAAAAATTTGGAGCTCATTTGAAAAAACTTGATTTATTTCATAATTTTGAATTAATTAATTAATTAATAATTAATAAAACAAATAGTAAACCTTAATGACTTAGGTTTTGTTTGAATTTGGGATTGAGTGATGACCTTGGGTCATTAGCATAAAATGATCCTTGGCACTTTAGGTAAGTGTTTGAGTGTATAATCAAGTTTTGATTAAGAA